TAAAAGTTACCAGTAGCTACCCGCTAGCTAGCTAGCTAGCTTTGTTGGTCCAAGTAGTGGGTAAGCTAGCCTCGTGCTTCGCCGGGGTCCGCCGAATACAATACTTACCTACAATAATTACCTACAATAACCTACAATAACTACCTGAGTAAACTACCTATAATACCTAACTACAATACCTACCTACAATCTAAATACATGGTTTAAGCTTTACTCAACACCATATAAGAAGCCAAGCTTACCTCCTGCTAGAGAAAACACAACCTCTCCCGTGAAGCTTCCGGGATAAAAGAGGTCAGACATTTCTTTTAGTTGGCCACCAGGTTTGCACACATCTCAGGAGGGATATTGTCCCACTCCTCTTTGCAGATCTTCTCCAAGTCATTAAGGTTTCGAGGCTGACGTTTGGCAACTTGAACCTTCAGCTCCCTCCACAGATTTTCTATGGGATTAAGGTCTGGAGACTGGCTAGGCCACTCCAGGACCTTAATGTGCTTCTTCTTGAGCCACTCCTTTGTTGCCTTGGCCGTGTGTTTTGGGTCATTGTCATGTTGGAATACCCATCCACGACCCATTTTCAATGCCCTGGCTGAGGGAAGGAGGTTCTCACCCAAGATTTGACGGTACATGGCCCCGTCCATCGTCCCTTTGATGCGGTGAAGTTGTCCTGTCCCCTTAGCAGAAAAACACCCCCAAAGCATAATGTTTCCACCTCCATGTTTGACGGTGGGGATGGTGTTCTTGGGGTCATAGGCAGCATTCCTCCTCCTCCAAACACGGCGAGTTGAGTTGATGCCAAATAGCTCGATTTTGGTCTCATCTGACCACAACACTTTCACCCAGTTTCGTCTGAATCATTCAGATGTTCATTGGCAAACTTCAGACGGGCATGTATATGTGCTTTCTTGAGCAGGGGGACCTTGCGGGCGCTGCAGGATTTCAGTCCTTCACGTCGTAGTGTGTTACCAATTGTTTTCATGGTGACTATGGTCCCAGCTGCCTTGAGATCATTGACAAGATCCTCCCGTGTAGTTCTGGGCTGATTCCTCACCGTTCTCATGATCATTGCAACTCCATGAGGTGAGATTTTGCATGGAGCCTCAGGCCGAGGGAGATTGACAGTTATTTTGTGTTTCTTCCATTTGCGAATAATCACACCAACTGTTGTCACCTTCTCAACAAGCTGCTTGGCAATGGTCTTGTAGCCCATTCCAGCCTTGTGTAGGTCTACAATCTTGTCCCTGACATCCTTGGAGAGCTCTTTGGTCTTGGCCATGGTGGAGAGTTTGGAATCTGATTGATTGATTGCTTCTGTGGACAGGTGTCTTTTATACAGGTAGCAAACTGAGATTAGGAGCACTCCCTTTAAGAGTGTGCTCCTAATCTCAGCTCGTTACCTGTATAAAAGACACCTGGGAGCCAGAAATCTTTCTGATTGAGAGGGGGTCAAATACGTATTTCCCTCATTAAAATGCAAATCAATTTATAAAATTTTTGACATGCGTTTTTCTGGATTGTTTTGTTGTTATTCTGTCTCTCATTGTTCAAATAAACCTACCATTAAAATTATAGACTGATCATTTCTTTGTCAGTGGGCAAACGTACAAAATAAGCAGGGGATCAAATATTTTTTTCCCTCACTGTTCAATGTTTGTTTGGTTTTGGTCATTTCTATTAATGCATGCAATATATTATTATACCAGTTTTTTTCCATTCTCATTGTCAGAGTGGACACGTTGTTTGCAGAGTGCACAACCTATGCTACACTTGTGAGAAACAAGTTTTGGTTTATTTCATTCCATTTAAGAGTTTTGTCAATTTAGTCATTGTCTTTGTTTGGAGCGTTACTGTCAATGTTGAGTAAGGACGCACACCTGATTATGCATAGAAGTAGGCGTATAGGCTACCTGGCCTGAGCGCAAATGTTGGCATATAAATGTGCCCATTTGGGGATCTGATAGTATTTCTGATTGGCTTAACTCACTACCACTAATGAGCTGTGGAGCTTCTCAAAGTAATGTTTTCTTTACCTCAAACAGCAAGCAAACAAAGTCTGTTTTTACATCCATTGAGAATGACAATAGTTCCTCAATGTATGTGAAAAATCTTTCTAACTCTCTCCCTTTCGATAACCACTCAGCATGTAAGGGAAAAATGTAATGCTCTGATCCAGTGGAAATGTCATAAAATAGGTTTACCTGATGAGCTCTTATCAGGTTGTGGTAGGCATGCCCTTTAATACCATTTCAGTTTGAGATATGCATTTTTCAGACTGACAGGCAGTTAGCTAAACTGTCAACTAAGGATTGTGTGCAATGCTCACTGGGAACTTGGCATATACAGACTGCTGTGTGCTGTGGTGATTGTCCCAGAGGTAGCATAGCGGCAGTGCTGATATATCTTTAAACCGGTGTACAATTCATTCTACATGCGTCCTTCTTATATATGCACAACATATTTGAATTACTCTTCCACACATTGGTAAACAAGTAACAAAGTATTTCATCTAAAACAGTCGCTGATAATGAAGATCTTAATTTAATTGCACACTCGAATCACAAATCTTTCACAGCATCACAATGGTTCTTACAATGCTTTGAGTTATATTCATTCTCATTGTGAGTTCAGTGAATGCTCCTTCTGGTTACCAAGTTAATTTAGAATTGTTAGCACTCTTTTATACAACTGATTATAAAGTACGTTTTTACATATAGAAAGGCAACTAACTATAAGAAAGTTGTAGGTGTAGATTGCTCTACGGGATAGAGTAAGATCGAAAAGGGTGTACATTCAATTTATGACATGTTCTAGACACTCCTCGATTGTTCGGTAAGGTTAGAGGTTTGTGTTACTCATTCTTTATTACATGAAAGCTAGTTTTCTCACTCTCTTTGAGATAAATTAGGTGTGTGTAAATTATGTTATTGGCTTTTTTTATGACACCCTGATCTGATCCAGCACTAAAGTGATTCATTTCTTTATGAGTCAGTTTTGCTTAAAAGTCAGGCTTTTCCACCTTTAACGTTAAAATAATGTCCCTTTACTACTCCTCTTAAATTATTTCCTGTGCCTCCTCTGGTGTTTACAGACTAATAAGCTTACAAACAACTCATAAGCATCATTATTTCCTGTCTTGTGATGTCCATAAGAAATTGTGACCCTCATTTCCCCTATCCTCCATTTGCTCTGTTACAAAATGTATGTTTTTCAACTTGAAAAGATAACAAGTTAACTCATTGCTTTGAAATACAATATATATATACAAAGGCATGTGGATACCCCTTCAAATTAGTGGATTTGGCTATTTCAGCCACATCCGTTGTTGATAGCTGTATAAAATTGAGCACACAGCCATGCAATCTCCATAGACAAAATTTGGCAGTAGAATGGCCTTACTGAAGAGCTCAGTGACTTTCAACGTGGCACCATCATTCCGCTACCCAAGAATAGCAGAGCAACCTTTAATGGTTCAAACAGCTGACCAATCAGCCTGTTACAAGTGCTTAGCAAACTTATGGAAACATTTGTGTTTGATCAAATACAAAGATACTTTACAGAAAACAAATTAACAACAGACTTTCAGCATGCTTATAGGGAAGGGTACTCAACATGCTCGGCACTGATACAAATGACTGATGATTGGCTGAAAGACTTTGATAGTAAGAAGATTGTGGGAGCTGTTTTGTCAGACTTTTGCTGAAAAAACGCATCCTCTGCCTTATTATGGATTGAGAGTTACCTATATAGGGTTTTCATTAATGGAAGCCTCTCTCATGCAAATTCAGTTGAGTGTGGCGTACCGCAGGGCAGCCGGCTAGGGCCATTATTGTTTTCTGTTTTTACAAATGACCTTCCACTGACCTTGAATTGGTAGGCCACAAAAGCTCACAGAACAGGACCGCTGAAGTGAGTAGCACAGAAAAATTGTCAATTAATTGCAATGCTCACTACCGAATTCCAAACTGCCTCTGGAAGCAACATCAGCACAATAACTGTTCTTCCGGAGCTTCATGAAATGGGTTTCCATGACCGAGCAGCTGAACACAAGCCTAAGATCACCATGCGCAATCCCAAGCATCGGCTGGAGTGGTGTAAAGCTCGTCGCCATTGGACTCTGGAGCAGTGGAAACGCGTTCTCTGGAGTGATTATTCATGATTCACCATCTGGAAGTCTGACAGACAAATCTGGGATGCCAGGAGAATGCTACCTGCCCCAATACCTATTGTCAACTGTAAAGTTTGGTGGGGGAGGAATAATGGTCTGGTGCTGTTTTTCATGGTTCGGGCTAGGCCCCTTAGTTCCAGTGAAGGGAAATCTTTAAGCTACAACATACAATGACATTCTAGACGATTCTTTGCTTCCAACTTTGTGGCAACAGTTTGGGGAAGGCCCTTTCCTGTTTTAGCATAACAATGCCCCCGTGCACAAAGCGAGGTCCATACAGAAATTGTTTGTCGAGATCGGTGTGGAAGAACTTGACTGGCCTGCACAGAGCCCTGACCGCAACCCCATCGAACACCTTTGGGTTGAACTGGAACGCCGACTGCGAGCCAGGCCTAATTGCCCAACATCAGTGCCGACCTCACTAATGCCTTTGTGGCTGAATGGAAGCAAGTCCCCGCAGCAATGTTCCAACATCTAGTGGAAAGCCTTGCCAGAAGAGTGGAGGCTGTTATAGCGGCAAACAGGGGACCAACTCCATATTAATGGCCATGGTTTTGGAATGAGATGTTCTAAGAGCAGATGTCCACACTTTTGGTCATGTAGTGTATGTCAATTCAGTAAATCAAGTTCAGTTGACAGAATCTACTATTATATTAGTAACAGTTTGAGTAGAGTAACTCATCTTTTTAAGTTGAACACACATGTACAAAGTACACCCATGTACAAAGTACCCAAAGTACATTTAACAGTGTACTTTACTCTACATACAGTATCTGTTCTTGTTATACACTTGACTTGATGTATTTCTCTGTGTTCTTCCCTCTGTCTCTACAGAACATTCCAGGACCTGTCCAGGCAGATGGATGTGTCCTACGGCACTGTGAGAGACTCGGCCGTCTATGAATACTTCAAGAACAAGGGCACCAACCCTCTAGAGCAGGACAGCACATACGCAGAGCTGTGGAGGACCATCAGCAAGAACAACGGCCATGACTACTCTGTGTCCAGTCCCTCAGAGGGCATCCGCAAGGTAGGTTGACAAAGACAAAACAGGTATATGCCAATAAAGAGAGGATGCCTAAGAACAGGCTGGTAACTCCTTTAGGTAGGAATTTCTTAGCTACTGTGTATTTAGACAAAAAGTCGAAACGGTTTAATATTTGGCATAAAAACAAACAAATCAATCTTTCCATTGTTATTTCACTGTCATTTCACAGTGTGGAGTCATACTGTTCTCCATCAATACTGTGCCTGTAGTTCCACAGTATTTCTAACCAATTAGACAGGCAAATTCAACATTATCTTTGACTATCTGTCTGAATAAACTGCAAATGCTGATTTGTGACATTGTATCAATTACACTGGTTAATCTCATATACTGCCCGTAATAAATGGCTTAGAAAGAACAATACTTTGCTTGTCCATATGCTGAGAAGTAATATGACATATCATATATCTTCAAATTTGTACTGTGAACTGCAGTGCTTGAGGCGTCACTACAGATCCGGCCGTGTCGCGTCCGGCCGCGAGCGGGAGACCCATGAGGCGACGCACAATTGGCCCTGTGTTGTCCGGGTTAGGGGAGGGTTTGGCCGGCCGGGATGTCCTTGTCCCATCGCGCTCTAGCGGCTCCTGTGACGGGCCGGGCGCATGCACTCTGACACGGTTGCCAGTTGTACGGTGTTTCCTCCAACATATTGGTGCGGCTGGCTTCCGGGTTAAGCGAGCAGTGTGTCAAGAAGCAATGTGGCTTGGCAGGGTCGTGTTTTGGAGGCATAGACTAAAATACAGTAGAATAGAATACAGTATATACACTGCTCAAAAAAATAAAGGGAACACTTAAACAACACATCCTAGATCTGAATGAATGAAATAATCTTATTAAATACTTTTTTCTTTACATAGTTGAATGTGCTCACAACAAAATCACACAAAAATTATCAATGGAAATCAAATTTATCAACCCATGGAGGTCTGGATTTGGAGTCACCCTCAAAATTAAAGTGGAAAACCACACTACAAGCTGATCCAACTTTGATGTAATGTCCTTAAAACAAGTCAAAATGAGGCTCAGTAGTGTGTGTGGCCTCCACGTGCCTGTATGACCTCCCTACAACGCCTGGGCATGCTCCTAATGAGGTGGCGGATGGTCTCCTGAGGGATCTCCTCCCAGACCTGGACTAAAGCATCCGCCAACTCCTGGACAGTCTGTGGTGCAACGTGGCGTTGGTGGATGGAGCGAGACATGATGTCCCAGATGTGCTCAATTGGATTCAGGTCTGGGGAACGGGCGGTCCATAGCATCAATGCCTTCCTCTTGCAGGAACTGCTGACACACTCCAGCCACATATTGTCTTGCATTAGGAGGAACCCAGGGCCAACTGCACCAGCATATGGTCTCACAAGGGGTCTGAGGATCTCATCTCGGTACCTAATGGCAGTCAGGCTACCTCTGGCAAGCACATGGAGGGCTGTGGCCCCCCAAAGAAATGTCACCCCACACCATGACTGACCCACAGCCAAACCGGTCATGCTGGAGGATGTTGCAGGCAGCAGAACATTCTCCACGGCGTCTCCAGACGCTGTCACGTCTGTCACATGTGCTCAGTGTGAACCTGCTTTCATCTGTGAAGAGCACAGGGCGCCAGTGGCGAATTTGCCAATCTTGGTGTTCTCTGGCAAATGCCAAACGTCCTGCACGGTGTTGGGCTGTAAGCACAACCCCCACCTGTGGACGTCGGGCCCTCATACCACCCTCATGGAGTCTGTTTCTGACCGTTTGAGCAGACACATGCACATTTGTGGCCTGCTGGAGGTCATTTTGCAGGGCTCTGGCAGTGCTCCTCCTGCTCCTCCTTGCACAAAGGCGGAGGTAGCGGTCCTGCTGCTGGGTTGTTGCCCTCCTACGGCCTCCTCCACGTCTCCTGATGTACTGGCCTGTCTCCTGGTAGCGCCTCCATGCTCTGGACACTACGCTGCCAGACACAGCAAACCTTCTTGCCACAGCTCGCATTGATGTGCCATCCTGAATGAGCTGCACTACCTGAGCCACTTGTGTGGGTTGTAGACTCTGTCTTATGCTACCACTAGAGTGAAAGCACCGCCCGCATTCAAAAGTGACCAAAACATCAGCCAGGAAGCATAAAAACTGAGAAGTGGTCTGTGGTCACCACCTGCAGAATCACTACTTTATTGGGGGTATCTTGCTAATTGCCTATAATTTCCACCTGTTGTCTATTCCATTTGCACAACAGCATGTGAAATGTATTGTCAATCAGTGTTTCTTCCTAAGTGGACAGTTTGATTTCACAGAAGTGTGATTGACTTGGAGTTACATTGTGTTGTTTAAGTGTTCCCTTTATTTCTTTGAGCAGTGTACATATGAGATGAGTAAAGCAAAAATATGTAAACATTATTAGAGTGACTAGTGTTCCATTATTAAAGTGGCCAGTGATTTCAAGTCTATGTATATGGGGCAGCAGCCTCTAAGGTGCAGGGTTACGTAACCGGGTGGAAGCCGCCTAGTGATGGCTATTTAACAGTCTGATGGCCTTGAGATTGAAGCTGTTTTTCAGTCTCTCGGTCCCAGCTTTGATGCACCTGTACTGACCTCGCCTTCTGGATGATAGCGGGGTGAACAGGCAGTGGCTCGGGTGGTTGTTGTCCTTGATGATATTTTTTGCCTTCCTGTGACATCGGGTGCTGTAGGTCCTGGAGGGCAGGTATTTTGCCCCCGATGATGCGTTGGGCAGACCGCACCACCCTCTGTAGAGCCCTGCGGTTGCGGGCGGTGCAGTTGCCGTACCAGGCGGTGATAGAGCCTGACAGGATGCTCTCAATTGTGCATCTGTAAAGGTTTGTGAGGGTTTTAGGTGCCAAGCCAAATTTCTTCAGCCTGTCTGTGTGGATAGACCATTTCAGATCGTCAGTGATGTGTACACCAAGGAACTTGAAGCTTTCCACCTGCTCCACAGCAGTCCCGTCGATGTGGATAGGGGTGTGCTCCCTCTGCTGTTTCCTGAAGTCCACGATCAGCTCCTTTGTTTTGTCGACATTGAGGGAGTGGTTATTTTCCTGGCACCACACTCCCAGGGCCTTCACCTCCTCTCTGTAGGCTGTCTCGTCATTGTTGGTAATCAGGCCTACAACTGTTGTGTCGTCTGCAAACTTGATGATTGCGTTGGAGGCGTGCGTGGCCACACAGTCATGGATGAACAGGGAGTACAGGAGGGGGCTGAGCAACCACCCTTGTGGGGCCCCTGTGTTGAGGATCAGCGAAGTGGAGGTGTTGTTTTCTATCTTCACCACCTTGGGGTGGCCCGTCAGGAAGTCCAGGACCAGTTGCACAGGGCGGGGTTCAGACCCAGGGCCTCAAGCTTAATGATGAGTTTGGAGGGTACTATGGTTTTGAATGCTGAGCTATAGTCAATGAACAGCATTCTGACATAGGTATTCCTAGCAGTAGCAGTATGTTGCTGGGTCAGTCCATTGAGGACTGACAAAACAAGGTGCAGTAAGAGGTAGCAGTTACTTGGAGACAACATCAAACACACATCAGTCACCTTCTGTCTCTGGGCTCTATTTTAACAAACCTAGCACAATGGTAAATCTTAGCGCTGGTGGTAACGCTATAGGTTCGGGGTGTGTCAGAAATATTTTTGCTATTTTCACAACCAGAAGTATGTGCACAGTAGCTGGCGGTGGCGCGAAAGGGCTAGGTTTTGATGAATAAATAAGTTGTAGGTGTGTCAAGGCTTTGACCCTTCACTGGCCAATCAGAACGTGCTCCATGGCTCCCTTTGGTTGCTTTAAGTTGTTAATTACGGTCTTGTATGTATTGCGTTGTCATCAACTCCAATTCGAATGTTAGTCCGTTATAGCCTAGTTTGTTAAATAGCCTACAGAAACAAAATAACAAAATGACACAACAATATAACAAGCCATACCGTGGGGTGTGGGACCCAGTCAGGTCTTTGACAACAATATAACAAGCCATACCGTGGGGTGCTGGGTCCAGTCAGGTCTTTGACACAACAATATAACAAGCCATACCGTGGTGGGCTGGACCTAGTCAGGTCTTTGACACAACAATATAACAAGCCATACCGTGGGGTGCTGGGCCCAGTCAGGTCTTTATAATATAAATAATATTCCTTTGACACATTCACCCTCTCTCCTGTTGAAAGATCAGTCACAAAATGTTGGCACCATTGTAATAGGTTGTAATCAAGCCCTGGTCTCCAGCATGGGAACAGAAGAGGAATACCTGGTGTGGTAGTCTCAGGTACTGTAGGACTACTCCAAATAATCTCGGCTCTGACACACACACACACACACACACACACACACACACACACACATGCAAACGCAAGCTTTGCAGTTCCATCAATCCATCTAAATACCTCTCACACTCTACAGTAGTAACCTGTGGATTGTGAGAACCTGCATAAATCAGCAGAACATGTATAACCTATTTATTTCAACTTCATGTAGTGTCCTGTAATACTTTGAAATGAGACACCTTCAGTCATAACACATCCATAAAGACTATATCGCGTGACACAGTACTTACTATAAAGTCAGACACCTTCAGTCATTCATAACACATTCATAAATACCTTATATCATATGACCCTGTACTTACTATAAAGCCAAACACCTTTGGTCATAAATAAGACATACATAAAGGCTTAATGATGTAAACACAAATGTATTAACTCTAAAGGAATTATCACTAACAGCTAAAATAAATAAACATGAAAGACAAGTTTAAACCATAAATGTCCTTTTATTTATACATGTTTAAAACAATACAAATACATTAAGTATGTAGTTAAATTGAACATTACACAGGGCTGTGAATAGTGTAGCTTGTCCCCTGAGCTGGTAGACAAATGGTTCTTGCCTCTCTGCCTGCTGGAGGTACTGCATGTTGGTTCCAACCTTAAAAGTAACAACAAAGAAAGTTAGCAAATCAGTTAGCTAGCTAGCAATTGCTGTGAAGTCACCAAAATAATTAGAAACAACGACTGAGGTAGCTATGTAATCTAACTCAACACTTATATAACTACTACATACCAGTTTAAATTACAATAAATAAAGGTTAACTTTATTCGCTGTCCAGTGGCACCACAAGTGGGCATTTGATTGACGAACTCCATCACATGTGCACTTACTGCGCTACAGAAACACCGCAAACCAAACAGTGCAAACACACTGAATTAAAGGTAACTACACAAAACATTAATTCCCAGACCTCAAAAGTGGTCCCCTTAAATGGTTTAAGCATTGTTGTGAACAAATAAAAAGTTTTTCTATTTTAAAAAAAACACACAAAAAAACTGGTAAAAATGGGGGAATTTGAAACATGGAAAAATAAAACCTAGAAAACGGAATATGGGAAAAACCCTGAATTAGGCAAAAAATGCATACGGATTTGAAAGCGCCCTACCAACGTTGTTTGCTGTGCATGACTGCACTTTAGAGTGTGTGTCATCCTGCAGCACAGCATTTTGGGGAAAGTTGAGATCAGGTCCAATCAAGTCCATTTATCCAAAGCGACTTAGTCATGCATGCATACATTTTTACTTATGGGTGGTCCTGGGAATCTAACCCACTATTCTGGTGTTGCAATGCTCTACCAAGATGCATGCCAAGGTTATAAATGCTTTGTGAAGCCTCAACTTAATATGATTTATAAAGCCTTTAGTAAGCGGTGCTTATGCCACCCTTTATAAAGCACAGGTTTATGTCATATTTGACATAGTGGGTTATGTCACATTTGACATTGGTGTTATGTCACAGTTATTCCACATTTATGAACCATTTATAGAGCATGACATGTGGTTATAGATGCTTTGTAACACATTTATGTAGTGCTTATGAAGGCATTATACGCTGAACGTCATTTAAAGCGGGACCGGTAAAAATTATATGTCACAGAATGTCCCGTAGCAGTTTTCCTTGGGTTGGGTTTTATTTCAATCCTGCCCACATGCCCACAACTGGCAGCACCCAAGTAATCATCAATTCGGAGCGCAGCTGCACGAGACCCAATCGTAATGACCATGGTTAATTTCGTTTGACATTCGATATCCATATGGGGCTAATTAGAGACCATCAGTAAATTACACAGACCCCTGACTTTCTCCACAATTTGTGAGGTTACAGCCTTATTAAAAAATAAATAATAATAATAATAATCATCAATCGACACACAATACCCCCTAATGACAAAGCAAAAACATTTTTTTTACTTTTTGCTTATATATAAAAAAATAAAAAAAATGAAATATCACATTTACATAAGTATTCAGACCCTTTACTCAGTACTTTGTTGAAGCACCTTTGGCAACAATTGCAGCCTCGAGTCTTCTTGGGTATGACACTACAAGCTTGGTACACCTGTATTTGGGGAGTTTCTCCCGTTCTTCTCTGCAGATCCTCTCAAGCTCTGTCAGATTGAATGGGGAGCGTTGCTGCACAGCTATTTTCAGTTCTTTCCAGAGATGTTCGATCAGGTTCAAGTCCGGGCTCTGGTTGGGCCACTCAAGGACATTCATAGACTTGTCCAGAAGCCACTCCTGCGTTGTCTTGGCTGTGTGCTTAGGGTCGTTGTCCTGTTGAAATGTGAACCTTCGCCCCAATATGAGGTCCGGAGAGCTCTGGAGCAGGTTTTCATCAATGATCTCTCTGTACTTCGCTCCGTTCATCTTTGCCTCGATCCTGACCAGTCTCCCAGTCCCTGCCGCTGAAAAACACCTGCACAGCATGATGCTGCCACCACCATGCTTCACCGTAGGGATGGTGCCAGGTGACACTTGGCATTCAGGCCAAATAGTTTAATCTTGATTTCATCAGACCAGAGAATCTTGTTTCTCATGGTGTTAGAGTCCTTAGGTGCCTTTCGACAAACTCCAAGCAGGCTGTCATGTGCCTTTTACTGAAGAGTGGCTTCCATCTGGCCACTCTACCATAAAGGCCTGATTGGTGGAGTGCTGCAGAGATGGTTGTCCTTCTGGAAGGTTCTCCCGTCTCCACAGAGGAACTCTAGAGCACTGTCAGAGTGACCATCAGGTTCTTGGTCACCTCCCTGACCAAGGACCTTCTCCCCCGATTGCTCAGTTCGGCCAGGCGGTCAGCTCTAGAAAGAGTCTTGGTGGTTCCAAACTTCTTCAATTTAAGACTGATGAAGGCCACTGTGTTCTTGGGGACCTTCAATGCTGCAGAAATGTTTTGGTACCCTTACCCAGATCTGTGCCTCGACACAATCCTGTCTCAGAGCTCTACAGACAATTCCTTCAACCTCATGGCTTGGTTTTTGCTCTGACATGCACTGTCAACTGTGGGACCTTATATAGACAGGTGTGTGCCTTTCCAAATCATGTCCAATCAATTATAATCTACCACAGGCGGATTCCAATCAAGTTGTAGAAACATCTCAAGGATGATCAATGGAAACAAGATGCACCTGAGCTCAATTTCGAGTATCATAGCAAAGGGTCTGAATACTTATGTAAATGTGATATTTCATTTAGTCATTTTTTATACATTTGCTAAAATTTCTAAAAACCTGTTTTTGCTTCGTCATTATGGGGTGTTGTGTGCAGATTGCTGAGTATTTTTGTTTATTTAATACATTTTAGAATAAGGCTGTAACGTAACAAAATATGTAAAAAGTCAAGGGGTCTGAATACTTTCCGAAGGCACTGTTAAGGGACAATATTTAATGTATATATATATATATAATGTCAATAGCTCAGAATTTCAATTAATTAAAAACCTCAAACCAACTGTAAATTGTAGAAATGTATATACAAATATTGAAAGCATTTAATGAGACAACTAAAAGGTGTGTAACACATTGTGTAATTTATTGATGGTCCCTAACTAGCCCCACAGAGTATCCAACCAAAGTCAAAATAATTTTGCCACGGTCGCACACCGGCCAGCTGAAGCTAATTGGTGAAAGAAGATAGCTAGCTTACTAGCTAGTCTAGGCTAGACACAAGACCTGGTTACACTGTTTCAAGTTATCTAGAAGGGTGAGTGACTGTAACTGTGTACTGTTTTGGGAGTGAAAGTAGAAATGCTTCCCACGTTCAAACACACACGAGACACCCACAACAAAGCACGCCTCCAAAACCCCAAATCTCGTTCTCAGTCGCATTTCCTGATTAGGAGAATTGAAACAAAGGCTAAATCAGGAAGTTCACCAACCCTCCCCGCACCACAGCGCAAGCGAGCTGATGTTAGACAGGTAAATTCTTGAACCTGGCGTAAGGGGTGGAAAATGCCAGCGCGCCAGTTTTTACTGTACATGATGAAATTGCAAACTAATGTGTGTTTGACACTTGCGAAAGCCGAAAATAGAGCCCTCTGAGCTAAAAGGTTTTTCTATCAAATGAGCAAATAAACAAATAGCCCAGTCTACAATGAGAATCAAACTAGAAAAGAAACCTGTACAGTAAATGTATTGAAGTATGTCTGTTTTACCACATGTTCATTAGAGTACTACACTTTCTTGGAGTTGGGATACTACAGTATATTCACAGCAATTCCCAGATGTAGGCCTTCCATCATCCTTTAGGTTCTATCATCGAAAACAATGTTAGCATATAGGCAGAATGTATAGCATCTGGATCATTAACTGGGTCATGATTGTCATTCCTCTGCAGGCGAAGAAGGGCCCGTATGCCTTCCTATGGGACATGGCTGTGGTGGAGTACGCCGCACTGACGGATGATGACTGCACCATCACCGTCACAGGAAACAGCATGAGCAGCAAAGGCTACGGCATCGCCATGCAGCATGGGAGTCCATACAGAGACCTCTTCTCCCAGAAGTGAGCAATGCCACCAACGTCTCTCCTCATTATACACCATCTACGCTGAGTATACCAAACATTACTAACATTCCTAGTATTGAGTTGCACCCCCTCGGGGCATGGACTCTACAAGGTGTCGAAAGCGTTCCACAGGGATGCTGGCCCATGTTGACTCCAATGCTTCCCACATATGTGTCAAGTTGGCTGGATGTCCTTTGGGTGGTTGATCATTCTTGATACACGCGGGAAACTGTTGAACATGAAAAACCCAGCAGCGTTGCAGTTCTTGACATAAACCCATATCCCGTACCCCGTTCAAAGGCACTTACATTTTTTGTCTTGCCCATTCACCCTCTGAATGGCACAAATACATAATCCATGTCTCAATTGTCTCAAGGCTTGTCTCCCCTTCATCTACACTGATTCAAGTAGATTTAACAAGTGACATCAACAAGGGATCATAGCCTTCACCTGGATTCACCAGGTCAGTCTATGTCATGGAAAGAGCAGGTGTTCTTAATGTTTTGTATACTCATTGTATATTGTAATGACCCTGGCATTGATGAACACAATTACCACTCCCCAAAGGGAGCTTTCTTGGAGCAGCTGTAACATGTCCGGCTTTGCAACCATAGGGTTGCAAGTTCGAGTCTAACCTCGGAACCTCGTGCTACTCCTTCGTATCATTACAATATTGATGCATTATAGATATACCATCACTTTATCAGCAGTTCTATACAGTATGTTATTCTCCTCACCTCTCCCTCTCCTTTCATTCTCCCATCTCTTCCTTCCATCACCTTGAGGAAATATCCTAAGTCTAAGTGCATATGGTTTAACGCACACCTCCTTTGATTCCTAATTACTTTCTCTGCTTCATAAAAGCCATACACATAATCACTGATGGTTTATGGTGCCTGAGGGATTGAGCGCCGTAATTGGCTGAGAGGTCATTCAGTGGTTATACTCATTTTAGGAGGAGTTTGACGAGGGAAATGAAAGGCCCACTAACATAGTGTTTTTATAAAGTCACTTTGTAGTATAAACATTAGAGAAAATGCTCTTTATAAAGGTCAGGAGTTACTGTCGTTTTGCATGATTTTAATGCCCTTGTCTATTTGTTATATAAACATGTACACTGAACCAAAACATAAATGCAACATGCAACAATTTCTAAGATTTTAATGAGTTATAGTTCATATAAGGAAATCAGTCAATTTAAATAAATTAATTAGGCCGTAAACTATGGATTTCACATGACTGGGAATAGTAGTGGAAAAAGTACCCAATTGTCATACTTGAGTAAAAGTCAACATACCTTAATAGAAAATGACTCAAGTAAAAGTGAAAGTCACCCAGTAAAATATTAGTTGAGTTAAAAGTCTTAAATAATTTGCTTTTAAATATACTTAAGTATCAAAAGTAAAAGTAAAATTACGAATAATTTCAAATTCCTTATATTAAGCAAACCAGACAACACCATTTTCTAGTTTTTTTAAATATATGGATTACCAGGGGCACACTCAGCTATAATTTACAAACGAAGCATGTTTGTTTAGTGAGTCATATCAGAGCCAATAGGGACGACCAGGGATGTTCTCTTGAGAAGGGTGTGAATTGGACCATTTTCCTGTCCTGCTAAACATTCAAAATGTAATGAGTACTTTTGGGTGTCAGGGGAAAATGTATGGAGTAAAAAGTACATACTTTTTTTTATGAATGTAGTGAAGTAAAAGTAAATGTTGTCAAAAATATAAATAGTAAAGTAAAGTACAGATACCCCAAAAAACAACTTGAGTAGTTATTTTAAGTATTTGTACTTAAGTACTTTACACCACTGACTGGAAATACAGACACGCATCTGTTGGTCACAGATACCTTAAAAAGAAAGGTTGTGGCTTGGATCAGAAAACCAGTCATTATCTGGTGTGACCACTATTTGCCTCATGCAGCGCGACACATATCCTTCACATAGAGTTGATCAGGCTGTTGATTGTGGCCTGTGGAATGTTGTCCCACTCCTCTTCAATGGCTCTGCAAAGTTGCTGGATATTGGCGGGAACTGAATGGCACAACAATGGGCCTCAGGATCTCATCACAGCATTCAAATTGACATAGATAAAATGCAATTGTGTTCATTGTCCATAGTTTATGCCTGCCTGCCGATACCATAACCCCATCACCACCATGGGGAACTCTATTCACAACGTCGACATCAGCAAACTGCTTGCCCACACGATCCCATACACGCTGTCTGCCATCTGCCCGGGATTCATCCGTGAAGAGCACACTTCTCCAGCGCGCCAGTGGCAGTTACGACGTCAAACTGCAATCAGGTCAAGACCCTGGTGAGGACGTTGAGCACGCAGATGAGCTTCCCTGAGATGGTTTCTGACAGTTTGTGCAGAAATTCTTCAGTTGTGCAAACCAACAGTTTCATCAGCTGTCCGGGTGGCTGGTCTCAGACGATCTCGCAGGTGAAGAAGTCAGATGTGGAGGTCCTGGGCTGGCGTGGTTACACGTGGTCTTCGGTTGTGAGGCCGGTTGGACATTCTGACAAATTCTTTAAAACGATGTTGGAGGCAGCTTATGGTAGAGAAATGAACATTCTATTCTCTTGCAACAGCTCTGGTGGACATTACTGCAGTCAGCATGCCAATTGCACGCTCCCTCAAAACTTGAGACATCTGTGGCATTGTGTTGTGTGACAAAACTGGACATTTTAGAGTGGCCTTTTATAGTCCCCAGCTCAAGGTGCACCTGTGTAATGATCATGTTGTTTACACAGCTTCTTGATATGCCACACCTGTCAGGTGGTTGGATTATCTTGGCAAAGGAGGAATGCTCACTAACAGGGATGTAAACAAATTTGTATACAACATTTTAGAGAATCATTGCAACATATCTTGACTCTGTGTATCATGCAGCTCTTTGTTTTGTCACCAATCAGAGACGTCTAACTCATTGTGATCTCTACACTGCTGTCGGATTTACATCACTAGCAACAGGCAGGCTCAAACACTGGTACATTCTTATTTATAAGACATTTTAGGAAAACTGCCATTTTATCTATCGTCTCTTCTAGCTCAAAATAAAAACACATATAAGCTCAGATCTCAATCTTGTTTTATGCTAAGAGTCCCGAAAACTAGAACCGAGCATGGAAAAGGTACTTTCATTACTCAGCCCCCTGGTCTTGGAATTCCCTCTAAGCCAACCAAAACTCCAGGGCCTGGTGTCCCTGGAGGAGTTCAAAGGACAAATAGATGAACAGGTTGTTGAGACATGTAGTTCTTCCTAGTTGTCACTAGTTTGCGTTGCCTTATGTAAGGAAGCATGTTGTTTTACTTCCCACACACCACACACATGCCTGCGTACACACACACACACATCCACTGTTTGTTTGCTGTTGTATTTGTGCTGTTGCCAATGTCTTCTGTCTGTGTTGTCCGTTTTGTCTTACATTGTTTTTTTGTGTGTTTTTTTTTTAAATCCCAGCCCCCGTCCCCACAGGAGGCCTTTTGTCTCTTGCCAGGCCATCATTGTAAATAAGAATTTGTTCTTAATTGACTAGCCTGCTTAAATAAAGGTTAAATAAACTATATCAGCACAGGTTGCAATCAATAAATACCTTTCATGTTCCAGCTTAGTTGGCTTATGAAATCAACCTATTATGAATTCATAACCAGCGTTGTTGGTTTGGATGAAAGAATAATCATTCAACATGAGTTAACATGATTCTGCTAATTACTTCCACGAAAAAAGGTTCATAATGGATAATTGAACTCAATACTGTACTTGGAAATTAACAACGTTTGAAAGTCTTTGGTCATTAGTTGCAGGATGCTGATTGGGTAAATCTGTCCATAATAACGTCAGCTACAGGACTGTTTCGCTAGCACAGACTGGAATATGTTCTGGGGATTCATCCGATAATATTAAGGAGTTTACCACATCAGTCACCGGCTTCATCAATAAGTGCATCGACGACATCGCCCCCACAGTGACCGTACATACATATCCCAAGCAGAAGCCATGGATTACAGACAACCGCCGTACTGAGCTAAAGGCTAGAGCTTCCGCTTTCAAGGAGCTGGACACTACCAGGATGTGTACTCAGAGCATGCGCTAACCAGCTGGCAAGTGTCTTCACTGACAGTCCTGTCTAGAGAACGCCAAGATAACCTGTCTAAATGACTATTGCCATGTAGCACTCACATCTGTAGCCATAAAATGCTTAGAAAGGCTGGTCCTGGCTCACATTGACACCATCATCCCAGACACCCTGGACCCACTCCAATTCGCATACCGCCCCAACCGATACACAGATGACGGCATCTCTATTGCACTATTTTTCTATTACAGTCTTTTTTGTTGGGAAGGACCCGTAAGTAAGCATTTCACTGTTAGTCTACACCCCTTGTTTACGAAGCATGTGACAAATACAATGTGATTTGATTTAACCAATTAGGACTGTGTAATCATATTGGCCAAGCATTTCCCCAAAATCAATCCCAAAATCACTGTCTTGACTGCATTCCCACACATCTTGTTTTGATTCTTCTCAGGTATAAGAGCTCCAAAGCATCCGTGAGAACAACCCCAAATGTTTAGTCACACTATCTTTTAGATAAGAAATCTAACTCTCTTCAACGCAGTGAAAATAAACAGTTTCCTTTGTTTGCGATGAGTGCCATCCCAACTCCACAACCAGAATGAACTGCCGTTCTAGTGACTAAAACACAGGTCTTAGGATACAGACAATGATTCTTCTACAAAGCAGAACCAGTTTCAACCAGCTTGTCATGCTTAGATCAGGTTTGATCTGGGGCTCATGGAGGCCACACGCCCACACCATTGATAAATCGCTGATGCGGTGGAACATTTGAAACCTCTCCACTCTTCCGAGGTGTGCTTTGTCAGGGCCCTTCAGAGTGCACACTCAGTATGCAGGGCCACAACAAGTGAAGAGCGGGGTCAGAGCTTAAGCGATGAGGTCCCTCCGTGGAAGATTCCCTATAATTCCTATCCCCACCACACTGAACTGAACACTGTCCCTCTATCTACGCTCATGATGGCCTGGATGAATGTCCATCTGGGAAATACAGGGCTAACAGAGTGGGGGTGGGATGTGCTTTGAGGACAGCTGGGAGGCTGCTCAGGGGGTAATAACAGGCTGAACCAGAATGTCATCTCCTCTACAGGGACGGATTCATCTTACTTGCCACCGTCCCCCTTCCCATCATCATAATCCATTCCCCTTCCTCCATCCCTCTCTCTGTGCCCTCGTCTATCCATAACCTTAGAAATTCATTTTTTGTGCTCTTTTTCATCACAGAAATTGCTGTGGCGGTAGTGTTTGCCCACAGGGGCGGTTCTCTGATAATGGTATTTTCCTCTTTGCCACGGCTCTTTTTCTTTTAATTAAGCAGTTCTTCACTCTGTTTTATTTTGGATTTCATTTGTGGCAATGAAGGACTACAAAAGCTGACATTTAATGAAGTTTACTGTCGGGTTTAATTCGTTGAGCAGGCATAATTCAAACAAATCACACTTAAAATGCTGTGCTGTGGGAATTGTCACAAATGAATGCGTTCATCTGCAGAAGATAATAGCAGGTCTGTCTTTCATTCTTCCTTTAGTGCCATGATAGCATATGAGTAGTAGATATGCAACTAGGGTCCTAAAGTCCTTAGTCTCAATCCTTTGTGTAACAGTCTTCAAACTTAATACAACAGCCTGTTTTGAGCGAAGCAGAGGAAGCATACGTCTCTCACACCCAGATATTTCCCCTCCTTGCAGGATCCTGGAGTTGCAGGAAAAAGGGGACCTGGACATCCTGAAGCAGAAGTGGTGGCCGCGTACAGGCCGCTGTGACCTCAACAGCCACTCCAATGCCACGCCCGACGGGAGGTCCCTGAAGCTGCACAGCTTCGCCGGGGTCTTCTGTGTCCTGGCCGCCGGACTGCTGCTGGCCTGCCTGGTTGCCGGCCTGGAGATGTGGTGGAACAGCAACCGCTGCGGGCAAGAGCAGCCCAAAGAGGTGACCGAGCACAGAGCCCGGAGGCCAGGGCAGCAGGGGGAGGACACTGCCACACTCTACTTTAAGGATCCAGCCGCAGACCACAGCCCCGATTTAGTCGAACTCCAGTACACGCAGTTGTAGATTGTGCTCTGATTGAAATCAAATTTGGTCCCCCTTATCTATCCCCCTCTCTTCTCTGAAACCAAATCCATCTGTTTTTGTATGGCATACGTACCTCACACAGCTCACAGATAAACACGAATCCCCCTTATAATTTTTTTACTAATATATTTCCATCTTGATTATTTATATTTTTTTGAAACTCTTCGAATTTGATCATCAGTGTATGTTAATCACACATCATCGGTGTATGTTAATCACACATCATCGGTGTATGTTAATCATAAACCCTTAAGCTGCCTTCAGGATAACAAACTGCCCAACCAATATGTTTTTTGAGATAAGCAATTCCTGCATTTTTCACAAATCTCTTACTAACATGTCAGAACAACTCATTTCGGACAGTGATGAGCATCAGTCCCCAGCAAATCTTCCAGTCACATACTTTGTATTGAATTCTTGTCAAAACCCTTTTCAGTTTTGCCATTTTCAATTCAGCAAGATTCTCTGTAGGAACATTAACTAACTATGTCCAGATTAAATGCATAGAAATAGAATGAATAGAACAGGCAAATCATTGACTTGAATGGGGATACCCATTCTGTTAATTATGTTTATATGCATTTAATCCTATCCGATAGGTGAAATCCAGATACCTTTTGAAAAACTGGGCCCAGAGGATTACACTTTCAAAGGGAGATTTGAACACCTTTTTAAATGTCTTATTTCAGAGTAAATCCATTCATCTATTTGATTCATGTCAGTGTGAATCAGCCGAATATGACATTTCTGAGAAAACGTCAGTATCGAGTTTGTTTTAAGTTCCCCATAAGATTAGTGTTCCTGAAATAATCAAAACCCATTGATTACCAACACAGTTCCTTACCCTGAATTGTGAACACATTCACAATTCACCCTTTTCATTGATTCTCGTAAGACTTTCTTTCCCCTGCTAAGTGCCTGCTAAGCTGATTTACGCCGATTACACCTTATACCTCATTGCCAGTTCACGTTAAGCCTTTCTTATTAGTTTAATCCACTCAAGTTACTGCGATGATGTCAACATGTCTACAGAGGCCTCTCACATGAGAGAGTTACTCTCCCCTTGCATGTGACATGGGACAGGTTAAGGCTTGACATGGATCCGTAAACTAAAGTGTGAGCAGAAACAGGATGTTTGCATGGGTCTGTCACCCCACAGCAATAAGAGCCACTATATCTGTCCAACCCAGTCCATAATCCCTAGTAATTCACTGTGTGACGTCTTATTGCAATTATATGTCAATGTGGACATCCATACGTATTTATTCTTGACTGTTCTATGATCTCGTGCAGGTTACTAAGGATTACAGACTGGCAAGGGTTTCTGGTCCATTGACATATAATGACATTACCACTGCTTCACCGGAAGGGAGGAAGGACATTTGGACAGAGAGAGAAAGAGACTGGGATGAAGCAGAAGCTATTGACACAGGTCAGAATAGAGCTCCTAAGATCTGATTTGTGCTGCTGCATTTAAGAGGCACTCTGATCTGTCCGATTGGGCTTGGGGGGATCTTGATCTAAAACTCCACACCACCATCTCATTTCTGGCAATCTTTCTATTTTCTGATTGTTATTCTGTTTCTTCTCCATTTTTGGTTAGTTGCGTTGTAGTGGATGGATGCATGCATGACAAGGGCTTGTCTCTCACCCTCACGTAGAAACATTGTATGGGGAACAAGAGGAAGTTAATTCAGTGACATTTTCTATGAACTACACTAGCAGTCAAAAGTTTGGACACACCTACTCATTCAAGGGTTTTCCTTTATTTTTACTATTTTCGACATTGTAGAATAGTGAAGACATCAAAACTATGAAATAACACATATGGAATCATGTAGTAACCAAAAAAGTGTTAAACAAATCATAATATATTTTATATTTGAGATTCTTTAAATAGCTACCCTTCGCCTTGATGACAGCTTTGCACACTCTTGGCATTCTCTCAACCAGCTTCATGAGGTAGTCACCTGGAATGCATTTCAATTAACAGGTGTGCCTTCTTAAAAGTTAATTTGTGGAATTTATTTCCGTCTTAATGCGTTTGAGCCAATCAGTTTTGAGGTATACAGAAGATAAACCTATTTGGTAAACAACCAAGTCCATATTATGGCAAGAAGAGCTCAAATAAGCAAAGAGAAACGACAGTCCATCATTACTTTAAGACATGAAGGTCAGTGATTCTGGAAAATGTCAAGAACTTTGAAAGTTTCTTCAAGTGCAGTCGCAAAAACCATCAAGCGCTATGATGAAACTGGCTCTCAGGAGGACCACTGTTACAGGAGTGGGTCGCAGTTCCGGAGCGACCCACTAGGTGTCATCCTCCGACAACCTTAGGCATCAGTATCCTATTGGTGTCACCTGTGTCTACCTGTTCACCTGTGTATTTATGCCCTCACTTCCCTGTGTTCCCTTGCTCAGTTTTCTCTGTTAGTTTCTCTATGTCCAGCAGTACTACTCAATGTCTGATCAGAGACCTATGTACAGGTACTTGAGAAGTGTTCTCCCTGTTTCGTTATTTGTTTCAGTCGTAGGTAATATTTAGTATTTTGGCTGTCAGACGGTTTTTGGAGACTTGTTTGCTCCGCCTTTCTTTTATTGTGATGATCCTTGTTTCACCATCTCTGCCTACTGTATATCCTGCACCGCACCTGGGTCACACCTCACACCAACCCTTACAGACCACCACAGGAATGGAAGACCCAGAGTTACCTATGCTGCAGAGGATAAGTTCATTAGAGTTACCAGCCTCAGAAATTGCAGCCCGAATAAATGCTTCACAGAGTTCAAGTAACAGACATATCTCAACATCAACTGTTCAGAGGGGACTGTGTGAATCAGGCCTTCATGGTCGAATTGCTGCAAAGAAACCACTACTAAAGGACACCAATAATAAGAAGAGACTTGCTTGGGCCAAGAAACACGAGCAATGGTCATTAGACCGGTGGAAATTTGTCCTATGGTCTGTAGACCAAAATTGAGATTTTTGGTTCCAACCGCCGTGTCTTTGTGAGACGCGGTGTGGGTGAACGGATGATCTCCGCATGTGTATTTCCCACCATAAAGCATGGAGGAGGAGGTGTTATGGTGTGGGGGTGCTTTGCTGGTGACATTGTCAGTGATTTATTTAGAATTCAAGGCACACTTAAGCAGCATGGCTACCACAGCATTCTGCAGCGATACGCCATCCCATCTGGTTTGGGCTTAGTGGGACTATCATTTGTTTTTCAACTGGACAATGACCCAACACACCTCCAGGCTGTGTAAGGGCTATTTTACCTAGAAGGAGAGTGATGGAGTGCTGCATCAGATGACCTGGCCTCCACGACCCCCCGACCTCAACCCAGTTGATATGGTTTGGGATGAGTCGGATGGCAGAGTGAAGGAAAAGTAGCCAACAAGTGCTCAGCATATGTGGGAACTCCTTCAAGACTGTTGGAAAAGCATTCCAGGTGAAGCTGGTTGAGAGAATGCCAAGAGTGTGCAAAGTTGTCATCAAGGCAAAGGGTGACTATTTGAAGAATTTCAAATATAAAATATATTTTGATTTGTTTAACACTTCTTTAGTTACTACATGATTCCGTATGTGTTATTTCATAGTTTTGATGTCTTCACTATTATTCTACAATGTAGAAAATAGTAAAAATAAAGAAAACCCCTTGAATGAGTAGGTGTGTTCAAACGTTTGACTGGTACTGTACCTCATTATGATGCTTTATGAAGGCATTTATTGTGCCTTATATTACATACATAGTGAAATATAACACTTGTTATAAGCAGTCATGACTGTTTGCATACATATCTCTAAATGTGTTTGTAAAGTTTGACCAAGGTGCTGTATAGAATTTGTTTCAGATACAGAGATGAGCCACAATACAGGACTTATGCATAATCATAATAGTCTTATACATATGGAGGCCACTTTGAAAACAGCTTACTCAAGCCCAGATAAATCATTCAAACAAATGTCAGGCCACCATGGATGGATAGAGTGGTTTTATAGTTTTATGTTTTCAGAGTTGTTTTTGCATTACGAAAGCTTTCACTCTGCAGAGCATGTTGTTATTTCCCCTCAATATAAACCAACACACTCTTATTAAAACACTGGTGCAGTGGTTTGATTTGAGGCAGTTATTTGTTTAGGCGTGCTGCCAATGCGACAAGATTATAAACATATTTTAATGAGGTGCCAGTCTGCTAAAGCAATAGCCTTGGATGAGAGGTTTTCATTAGCATTAAGAGTTTTTTATGATACAGGATTGATACTGTCGTAAATTATCTGTTGACAAAGTCTTCAGAACAAATTATATCAAGATTATATCTTTACATTCCGGAAGGCTCAAGCTGATATGGGAAGCAATGAGGAAACACAGTTGTTTGTCTGTAATAATACTTGACATTGATCTATCAAGATTGATTAAGTGGCTTAACATTTAGGACCTCCTCTAGAAGACATTGTGTTGTGCTTTTAGTTGGGAGGCTGTGGTATAATGTGCTTATGGCAGGCAGTTGATATTGACAAGAGGAATAGTAAATTATGTAGAATCACAGTGGAGTTTAGTTACACTGTTTGATGCAGCACTGATCCCATTGAAAGTGCATGGCTTCTGATCATTATGAGAGGAGTCAGTTGATTTCAAGGTATTTCTGCATCTATGTTGCCAAACAACATCCATTATAATTGCATAGTAAGAAGGATACTCTTTATTTCCAGTGCATTAGGGTAGTCACTAGACTAGAGAGTTTCCAAAAAAATTGCATAAAGATGGTTGAAATAGTTATTCATTTCCCTAAGTGCAATATAATCAAAGCCAACCTTTCTTTCATTTGTAGAGCATGTCGTACCTAGCATAAAATAGTAAATCATCATCCGTCTTCGTAGAAACACATTTCTGATTATGTCTTCCATTCCAAAACATGTCTTATTTTCATTGGTTGGTTTTGTACTCCATATATAGAATCTTAACCTCTGCAGTGTG